CACCCTAGATTCCTCGGGGCCTGCAAAGCAGGGAGGCCTATTGGCTGTTGTTCCCTCAATTTCACTGTGCAAAAAACAGTACCATAGACAAAGTTTTCACTTCTCAACACTGGCACCCAAACCTCTCTCCTCCAAGAAAAAATAAAAAGCTCTAATTGTTTTTATTACTTTCAGACACTGGCCACCGAACACAGATGTTCACTATTGAGAATTAAAGGAAGGGGAAAAGGTCAGAGGAACCCAGATCAGCTTGATCCTCCTTTAGATTACTTAGTCCCATTGTCTTGAATGGCCCTGATCTTTGAAGAAGAAAAGAATATTTAGATTGAACATAAAAGTGAATGAATCACTCAGTGGGCCCATTTTGTTAGTAGGGCTCCTGTCTTTACCACCTCCCCTCCTAAAATATAGTAAAAGGGGAAGTGTGTGAAATCACCCACAAAAAGAGTGAACTATGCTTCTGCCTCAAATCTCCGACGTTTTCTTATCTTTGGAAATCTCTGGCCAAAAAAATTCTATCTTAAAGCAAGAGCCCTAATACCCAAGAAATGGAAAAAAATCTTTTTTTCTATCCTTAACATATGGAACCCTCATGACAAAGAACATTCACGAATAAATATTGTTTTGTTGTGATTATTGGTTTGGTGCAGGTATTGGGGAGTTCCCATATTATGATATTGTGTTTGTGTGTCTGTGTAAACTATTCCAACCAAAAAACAGTCTCTCACCCAGTTTACTAGCAGAATCGTTTGTCTAGGAGTATAACATATACACAAAATTCATCCTGGTCCAACATTAATACCTTGATCTAGAAGCAGTGCTGGCACATTTTTGGGGGGAAGAGGGTTGCTGGAAGGGGTGGGGGAGGCTAGCTAATGGAGCATTGAGGTTTGGTTTTATGCTTGTTTTCTTTAAACTGACTGGGATTTTCCCAACCATGTAGTACAACCCCTTCCCGCCCCTTTCCAAACCTAGAACGTCGATGGTTTAGCAGTAAAACCCACTGCTGTGTATAAAGTATGTAAAATCCTTTTTCCTTGGAAACTCGGAATACACTCACACTCACTTTGCCAGCTTGAACAGCCACTGGCTCTTCCTGTGATGGGATGTTTCCCAGCTGCCCACCTCTTATTACACACCCGGAAGCAGAGTTCTCCCGCTTAGGACTCAAGGGTTCACCTGGCTGGATCTAGAACTCTTTGGGTTGGCCTGATCCTCCACCTCAGTCTGTGCAGTATACACGTTTAATGTGAGTCGTAGTTTCCACTCTGGAAAGACTTGCATGCCCAGTGCGAGTCAAGCTCTCCTTCCCACATCTCTGTATCCCTCTGCTCATGTGCCAGCTCCTTTTCTCTAGCCATTTGATAAATGTGCAAGTCAGAACATTTTCCTGTTACACAGGGCAGACTCTGACCTCCCCAAAATATCCTACGCACATATGCCCTGACCATGCTCTCCTCCCAGTTAAGTGCGGTGGCTAATGACATCTGACAGCCACATCCTTGAAATGTTTACTAATATCTCCGAGAGCAGGCACGTCCAGAACGTTAACTGGTGATCGAGTCACAGATGACTGCCAGAACCGCCCTCCTTGCGGCCTGGGCAGGTCACGCTTTGCTAAGTCCATTGGCTATTATACTGCTTTAAAATTTTTTAAAGAACATTTTTATGCAGAGGCCTCTCCCGGCAGCAGGTGTGACCCCTATTTGGGTTTGGACGCCTCTCACCTGAGTTACAGCTCCAGAAGGCTGCAGCCCTTTGAAGAGAAGAGAGAATGGGGGGCGGAGGGGTGGGGCAGGATGAGCAGGAACCAATAGGTTTCGAACAAGTAGGCAAAAAGTCGCGGCCTGACCTTGCTAGCTTCTGACCAGTGTGGAACGTGCTGAACTTGTGTGACAAAACTGCACCCTCCTTCTGAGCATAAACAGCTTGCCCACGCAGCAGTCGTTTGCAAACTCCGTGCCTTGACCGGGGAGCGCGCAGCAGAAACCCAGCCGGGAGGGCAGGCCGAGCCCTGGGCATCGCGGAGGCTTAAATCACGCCCCGGGGCGCCGCGGCGCGTGCGTGCGCGCGCGTCCGTGCGTGCGCGCTGGTTGAACCCTGCCAGCAACCCGAGAGCGTGCCTAAACGCCGGCAGCGGAGCCCGGTGCATGCGCTCGGCGCAGGCTGGGGTGGCGCACGCGTGGTCCGTGAGCTCGCGGACACTGCCCGGGTGTGAGTGTCACCGCGCTCCAGACCAGTCTCCTCGTTGCTGTCGGTAGCTGCAAACACGGGGGAAAGGCCATGGGAGTGCTCCAGTCTGTGACCTGGGGGCGGGGCACGGAGGGACCCACGCCGAGAAAGTGGCTCGGAGAGAGGTTTGACTGGCCTCATCCTAAGGAAGCCTGGAGGTTATTTATGAGGTCTGATTTAAAAATACTGGCTGCCAGGGAAGTGAAAAAGGAGCTCACCCCGAGCAATGAGGGAAGTATAGTTGCAAGAAAGCTGTTTATGACGATATAAATCAAAGAGGAGCTTGTGATGGGAAATATGGAGAGCGTGAGTTTGGGCTAGAAACAAGGAAACAAAGTCAAGAAGGAAAAATGAGTTTTCCTCCTCTGCCCCCTCCTATCCCTGCGCAATTCCTTCCTTCCCCAAGAGCCCAGGATTCCAGCGGGGAAGTTGGGGAGGGCTGGGCGCTCCCGTCGCTGGTCGGGTCCGCCCGGGTCTTCCCTAAGTTAAATGAGGCTCGTTAGAGGGAGAGGGAATAGATGTAAATAAACAACTTGGAAGATTTATGGGAAGGAGTTCAATTTTATAGGACTGTATTTATGGAGCCAGCGCTGGCTCACTTATAAATAGATTAATGGGAAGCTAAAATTAATGGACTTGTGAGCTGCAAGTTTAATTTCTGAGGCTTCAACATGACAGACAACCTCCCTCGAAGTACCAGCGCGGAAGGCACTTATGTCGGGGCGTTGAGAGCACCCTCAAGAAGGGGCACGTCCCATCAGGCCAGCATTTCTCTGGTGGCTCTAAGCTCAGGCTGCCCAGGATCCCTAGGAAAAGACCCTACGAGGCTGTTACTTGCAAATGAAGAAAAAGAATGTGGCCTCATAAAAAAATAATCGGGTCTTCCTCCTAGCATTATTTTTAATCAGGGCCCTTAAGCCGCTAATACCGGCGGGCGGGCTTCTGGAGCACTGTAAACCGCTCACCCCGGCCGGCTGCCTCCAGGCGGGCAGGGGCAACAGCTACACCTCCTCCAAGGTCACCTAGGGTCCCCCTGCCGGGCCTGTGGTCAGGGTCCTTGGCCTAGCTGTTCCAGCTGTGGCTCTTTCCTCACTCCCTCCGCAGCCCAGTAACAAAGGGGCTGAGGAGCTGCGACAGGCGGCCCAGGGCCATTTTGTAAGCAAAGATGGTTTCAGGCTTTCCTACCCCTTCCTTCCCTTCCCAGTTTTTCCTTCCAGGTTCTTCCTCCAGTTCTTTTTTTCTCACATTCAGGCCTCTCAGGACCTGGGGTTTTACCTAGTAAAGGTGATTGTCTCAGATCCTCTCCTTGTCCAATGATGATGGGAAGGGGGTCTATAATTTACCTGTGGGATAATAGATGACAGGTCTGTTTCTCCAGAGCAAGAGCTAACCCTTCTGTAGAAGAATCTGCCATAGGATATGGAGATTACTCACCACCCCTTTTGTGTAATCCCAGTGGTAACCAAACCCTCCCTCTCCAAAAAAACAAATGAAAAGGAAACTCAATATAATACAGTTGAGTGAGAGACAAAGGCTTATACCTGTTTTCTTTCTAGATAAATGGATTGCATGCATTCTTAATCACACTTCCTTTGGTGTTTCTTTTCTTCCTTCTACTTCCCTTCCTTTGAGTCAATCATTTATAGTTCTAGCGATGATATCCTCCCCCCCTTAATTAATAAGGAAGCCATGAAGTGGGAAATCTCACATAAAGGAGATTACATTGTCCCTTCTCTCTTTTCCTATAGGGCAGTCCAACTGGGAAAGATTACCTGAAAAACAGAAAATTGTTATAGGAGGCATATTATTAAGTAACTGAGCACCAACTATGTTAAGTACTTTTGCAAGCTGGGTTTATCAAGATTTAGCTTTGCTAATTATCCTCAAATGTATATACATATTGCTGTTTCTGCTTTTTATAATTAAACTAAGCAATGATGACGTTGGAAATGACCTTAGGTCTTTATAGATAAAGACCTTGAGTTACAAAAAGGAACAGTGACTCGTCCAAACTCTGTAACATCTTGGACGACTTTATTTTCCTAGCCTCAGGGAAGACGCCCAAACCTTGGGATGAAATACAGATTGAGATGTTTGATCACTGCAGCCCATTAGGACTGGGCTGCAGCCCATTAACCCAAATGAGAAAAGCACTGGCTTCTCTAAGCAGCCTCGGAGCCGCAGGTAAGAACCAACCCCCTGAAACAGCTAAGCCTTTCCTCCTCTGGGTCAAGGGTGCTTTTCCTCATTTGGTTATGGAGGGCCTTGCACTGCTGATGAGGTCAGGGTTGGGTTCAGTCCTGAAGCGAGCCATTTACCTCCTCCAGATCCCAAGGTTTGGGGAGCAGCAGCCCATACCTGGCCCTGTGGGCATCTCTCAGGAACCATCTCGTTTGAGGAACACTGTGCCAGAACACTAGACTACTTGCAGTAGGGAGGGGAGCATCATCTTTGACTTGCACCCAGAACCCTTTAAATTTAGTTACATGTCCCAGTAACTACATACTTAGTGGGATGTAAATTTGATGCCTCATTCTTTAAAAAGGCAAAATAAAGCAAGAGATACCATTAACATGAGCTTTTATTGCAAATCTGGTTAGAAATGGGAGAGAAGAGTGTCAATTTGGAATTAAAAAAAAAATTAAAAACACCTCCTAGTGAAAACAAAAGTGTCCATTATTCTGAGAAGCAAAATTTATTGTATTTATGATGTAACAAAAACATTGACTATGTTTTGGTGAGGGGGGACAAAAAGAAAAAAACCTCTTGGCTATAGTTTCTTTTTTCTGTTTGTAGAATTAAACAATATCCATATTCAAGAAACTGAAGATGAAAACACAACGATCCTTTTATTTATGTAAATCAGATCAACACTGGACAATAAACCAATTTCTACCCATTACCATAACAGCTTGTCTATAAAGAACAGAAAAATTCAGATAGGATTCTATCTAGGGTCAAGCGGGGTTTTTTTTTTTTTTTAACCACCCATTCACAGAGGTATAGATTCACAGATAAATAACCCCAAACTACTTGCTCGCCATATTTACACATTCCCATTAAATTAAGCATAAATAAATATATACAAACTTAACATGGATACCCTCCAGAGTTCTTCTGAAGAGTCAATAGATTGATATTTCTTGATTGTGTGGCAGAAACAATGTTAGTGAATTAGAGACCAACTCAACAGAGGAGTCAATATTGGCATTTAAAGAATAGTTTTTGTTCCACTTTTAAATGAAAATAAAACAAATTTTGATATTTAACTTCTTTCTTTTTTTTTTCCCCCAGATAACTTAACATACATCAGCATAGGAGGGAAAACACTGTTTGGGCTTTTGAGGCAACATCAGATGATTTAAGGTTATATCCTTTCCATAAAATTTATTACGCATACAGGATATCAGATGTGATGACAAATTCTCTATAAACACTGTAAGTAGGAATGAGTTGCCCTTCTAAGTAAGGCTTTGTACCAGAGGAACAGTGTAGTGTGTAGATAAGTTCGGGGTTTCTGGGTTTCTATTTGACCAAAGTTTTCTTAGAATATGAAATAATTGCTTGAGAGAAAGTAGTTTCCTTGGCCAAAGAAAATAAAACAGCATGGTCTTTTAAAAGCCTCTTCGGTTCTTTATGTGGGGGTGGAGAACGCTAAGGATGTGGAGCCAGAGAGAAGGAAAGAAAAGGCAAGATAAATGGGGCGAGGCAGGGGTGGGGTACCTTTCCAATTTGGGGGAGAAGTTCAAGATCACTTTGAGATGGCATCCTACCCAGAACTGCTATATTGGTGGAGGGCTCCCCTGAGACTCACAATTTTATAGAAAGAGGCAGTGGTGGTCAGAGAATGGTCAGGAGACCTTAAGAACCTCCAAAGGAACTTACAAATTGGAAAGTGTGAGGGCAATACTGCTTCAGCCTGACTCCTCCTTTCTGTCTGTAGCCATTTTGGTTCGCCACCGAGCACTTGAGAGGGGCAGGGGGCCTGATAAATTGTCCAAAGAGCGTAGGGTGAGGGGAGAGCTGCAACTCACCTGTTTGGTTTGAAAACAAAGCTCAAGAAGGCTTGCTTTAACTGTTTCCCTTGATTTAAAAGGCAAACTCTTGCGTTAATCCTACTGTTTATTGATTTATGGGCCCAAGGAAACCAAATCTTTTAATAACTCAATTATCAGATAAACATAGAGAGCCTAGCTAAGGAAAGAAATGGGGTGGGAGTCGTACTAGAAAGCTGAAGTGAGGGAGGGTGAGGGGGCACGAGCTCTCTCCACAGGGGGTAGGGGGCGGAGGAGACGCACACCCAGCTCTACTTTGTGGGGTGTGAGAGGAACGTAGGAATGAGGGTGAAGGACCAGGGAAGCCTGTGTAGCCAAGTAAGATCATATTCCATCCCGTCACCCGCCGTTAGGAGCCTGAGGATGGAGTTTTCGTCCTAGCAAAGGCGGGGAAAACTTCCGGTTCCCTGGACATTTCTAGGCCACTTGCCCTCTGGGGACAGGCGCCCCGAGTGGCCGCTGGTAGCAAAGGGCCTAGGCAGCACTGAGACCCCTCCCCGCCTGCAGCCCTCGGACACCTCCCCATTACCTACTGGAGAATGGGGCTATCTCGGTCGCCTTAGCCCTTAAGATGAGACCGAGAGCGGGAAGGGCCCACGCGGCCCGCGGCCCCTCCAGCAGCTGATTCTATGTCCTCAACACGACTGGGCGCGAGTGGCCCACACGCTCTCAGGACCTGCACAGTAAGAGCAAGGCGCTTCCATCGCGTCTCTCGCACGTCACACGCGTGGGGCGCGTTGCCCTGCAAGGAAAGGAGACGGTGGTTTTCAGTGTGGTTTTTCCCGGCCTTTTCGCAATCAGAATACATCTAATGCAAGCGGCCAGGCCCTCAGACATAGGCTCAGCTTCTGAGCTGGGGAGGCATGGAGTGTCTACACTCTCCGTAAGGTCTGGTTCCAGGCCTTGGTACTCCTTCAACTCTTCTAGGGCAGAGCCCCTCCAAGGAGCTGGCAGTAGAGGGGCTGAGATGGGACCCTAACCTTTGCTTGGGCCCTCCTGCTGACCTGAAACCAGCTCCCTAACTCCCTCCCCCACACAGATGTCAGCGCAAAGCTCTCAGCAGGTTCCTAAACCCAGCCCTTCAACCTCCCAAGGCCAAGACCCACCCTGGGCAGGCGTCAGAACTGAGAGGCCCAGAGGATCCTAACTGTAAATTCTGTGGAACAGATATCTGGATCTTTATCTTCAAGGGATGTTGCAAAAGTCATAACGTCTACTTTGTATCAAAAGGTGCCTGTATGGATACTAAATTTAGAGACCTATCTCACCCACCCACCCCGCGGGGAATTTCCCACTGCTTTTAGGAGGGTGGGGACAATGGGTTCCAGATCTTATTTCCTGATAGCGCTCAGATGAAGCCCGAGAAAGGAGCGGGGCTGCCAGAAGTGAGAGATAGTAAATGCAAGAAACTTTATCCACTAGGAATAGTCCCAGTGTATCCAGACGGTGAAATTCAAAGCTGAAATACATCTCCTTTCACTTTGCATTATTTTACCATCATATGCCAAAACAAGTGCACGTCTGGGAGAGGAAAAATGCCTCATTCATAAAGCATCTTGTAAGAAAGCAATTGTTGCTGAAACATGGGAGCTTGCACCACCCTCCTCCCCAGGAACATTTCCAAAGCTGCTGCTTTGCCTGCCAAAACAGCAACCGCCAAAGAGCCCAAGGAAATAGAACTCATTTTAAAGGCAGGACAACACTGTTAAAATATTGGGCTCCAAAAACCCCTACTCTTCTCCCCTACAATTCATTTTGCAGCTTAGCTGTCCCCCAGAATTTCGTGTTGAGGTATCTGTTAGCAACTAGACTCAAAGCTGCTTCAATCTCATATTGGCCACTTTCTAAATTATTCCCTTTGAGCTTCTTTAAAGAAGTGCACCTGCAGAATTCTGACACACAGGCTTTGATTAAAAAAGGGATCGGAATTTTTTTTTTCTCTGTACCTTATAGATTGTGTAGGAAGCCCCAGTCCTCTTTGAAGAAGCTCATAAACCATGCGGGCAAAGCTTTGGAAAACAGAAGAGAATGAAATGGTACATACCCCTCCGAAGGAATTACATACTAATCAATGTATTCATATTGTGTTTTTTTCTTTTTACTATTATTCTTAAAATTGGTAGGTGACACAAATATTATAACAAATGCAAGATTCTCTGTATGCCGATGCTGGCAAGCCTGGGAACTAGTAACATTTCTGAAAGGAACTGATGATGAGTCTGAATCAACTTATTGGTCCGGATTTTCCTCAGCCGCGGGAGCCTCTGCTCTGCCGCGGGCACCAGAAGCTGTCGCCACTGCCCACATGTCAGCGGGCCTCCAGCCCCACCCGCCCTCGCCCTCCCTAAGTAGGCAAACCCCAGGCTGGGGAGCTGTGCACAGGTGAGTTTGAAACACAAGGCGGGGTGGGGAGACTGAGAGGACCGAAACACCACGCAAAGGGCTAACCACACTCGTGTTCATCCCGGAAGATTCCGGTGACAGCTTGAGGAAGACAGGGCAATGTAGAAAAGGGTGGTGGGGAGAGGGCTGAGGTGAGGGGGAAGGGCAGGGACTTCCAGACAGTTTCCTAAAAAAATATTAAAAATTAAAAAGTTCGTGCGTTTCAACCAGCTGTCAAAGCACTGATACCAACAGTTTCTCCGATTTTCTTCCAATAAGTTAGCGTTTTCTCATGTTTAGTCTTATGTTTATTTTCCAAAGGGGGGGGAAAACATGGTTTTCTTTTATTATCAGTATTACTAAGCTCGAAAGAACCGAAGTGGAAAATCCGGACGGTTGTCTCCAAGTGTATCTTGAAATAGACACTGAGAACCGATATTGTTGCTCCGTTGTATGCCTCAGTTTTTAAGTTACTTAGCTTTTTTTGTTTTAATTTTGATTGTATGTGTATTCTACCTAATATAATTCTTCCAAAGCCAATCCAATATTTTAAAGCTAAAATTAAATTTTTTTTTCTGTTTTCCTTTTGTATTTAAAACATTTTTTTCCTTTTTTAATTTTTTCATTTCCTGTGTTTCTCCTCCTTGTCTCCAGTTTTACTACCTGGGCCTTCCCCAGACGTGTGCCTGTTAGTGGTGGTGTTGTTCAAGAACATCTTGTCCATGCCTTTGAGGGCCTCGGTGAGATAGTTCTGCAGGGCCGTGAGCGCAGCGCAAATGGCAGGGGCGCCGAAGCCGTGCGTGATGAGGCTGAAGTGCGTGAGACAGCTCTGGATCCCCGGCTCCAGGATGGGGCTGGGCCGGCTGTTCCCGATCGGCGTCCGGTCCTGTGCCAGCAGATCCGTAAATTCTTTACAAAGTTGCCTGCAAAGGGGTGAGAGAGATGGGGGGGAGGGGGAGAGAACCCTTAGTGTCGTTGTCATTGACATTAGAAAGGAGACGCTCACACAAGCCCAGAGGCGCCTGGTCACCGTAGAGCCGAAGAGCGAGGCTAATGTGAGCGATTCCGCTCTGTTTCCTTTCCCAGCGCTTGCCCTTCTAGAGCAGCTGGGACTGAAGGAAAGCGGGGGTGGGGAGAGTATGCACCCCTTGCATCCCAAAGCCTAGCCTTTTCCTCTTTTCCAGTCTTTTTTCCTTCATTCCAGGACCAAATAACTCTGCTTTGGGAAATCCGCCTGGCTTTAGCGATTGATTTGGAATATTCAGTAATTGTTAGCTCTAACCTGGCAATTCTTTAAAAAACCCTCTCCAACCTCTTCGCGATCAGGCTCAAAAAGCCCTGAAAGATTTAAGCCCCTGGGCCACAAGCCTGTCCTTCGCACAGAGGCAGATTGCTGGAGCCTTGCATGGCCCAGGGCAAGCAACTGTTTATTGCAGAAGAGAATGCTGATTTCGTTCAAAGCAAAAATCTGTTTACCTGCAGTATTGGGGAAGGGAGGTAATTTTCTGCCCCTTCATTTTTCCTTTCAAGTGTAGGTGACTGAAAATTTTTGTACAACAGAATTGTTGTCAATATAAAAGGATTCCTACATTGTTTAAATAAAACCTAAAGGTAGCTGGTTAAGACACTGGGGAGGGTAGACTTTTATTTGTTGAAGGTTTTTTTTTTTTTTCCTCAAGGCACCTACAATTTAGAGGAATCTGCCAGCCTTAGTAATCCTGTGTACCTAACTACAGATTGAGTTTACTTGAGAAAATCTTAATATAGGAGGTGGACAGGAGGGTTTTAGCCCAGAAGGTCCAAGAGCTTGGCTCTGGTGGCAGTCAGAGGCATGCCATCCCCAAGGCCACAGCTTTTTACCGACTGGCAGGCTCATTCCATCAGCCTGCCTCCACCATGTCTATGGGGGATGGTGAGAAATAAAAAACTACAGAATTCCAGCCCCAGGCCCCCTTGGGATGACCTGACACCTGGTAACACCTGACATGGCCAACAGGCAATTTGGGCAGGTGCCTAGAGACCAATGTGAGTGCCCCTTGGGCATCCTTTCCCAGGAGATTACCCCCACGAGGAGTATTGGGGAACCTAAGTGGAGAATACCTCCTCCCCAACCCTGATGTGCAGCACCTGAAAGGTATTTTTTGTTTTAAGGCTGGTGGCTAGAGAACGCAATCAGGCATCCTCTCTCTACCCTCTTCCTGGTGGTTTATCCATTCAAAATGCTCACAGACATCCTCACATCAAAGAAGAAACAGGTAACATTTCTGACCTAAATAGGACAGTTCTAAGCCAGAGGTATGTCGGAAACACCTGTGGGGTTCAAATGCACACATCCAGGCCTCCACCCCCACTGATTCCAATTTGGGGGGCTTGGGGCTAGGTCCACAGAACCATTTTGATAAAGTCCCAGACGATTGTGATTCTCACTCCAGGTTAAAAAGTGCTGACCTAAGCCGCAAGGCTTCAAGAGGGAAGCTGCTAGCATTCCTTAGGGACGTGAAAGTCCTTCATGGAACCCTGTTATCTAATTTGCACAGTTTGGTTTTACACCCCCCCCCCAAAGTACCTTTACTCTTTTATAAAGCACCAACTGGTGCCCTGCCACCAGACACAAGGGCAGGGGATAGGACAATTTACTGACAAAGATCTATTATATTGCTAATGTCACATCAGAGGAAAACCTTCTAAAAACAGGGTGGGTGCCAGGTTTTGATCATTGGAAGAGATGGTTAAGTCTTTCCTTAAGTTTGTACTCATTACCGAAGTGCCAAAAAGGAAATTCTGAACTGGGGAGAACAAATGCTTAAAGTCAAACGTTTTAAATCTTCAAAGCCCAAACCAGGGTCTGTAAGCAATTAAAGTTCTGGGACATTAATATTTTTTGACCCTGCGGAAAGGGGCAATCAAATTCCAATCACGTCTCAAAAACATCTGGACAAATTTGAGCAAATGATTTTTCAGCCTTCCATATATTTCTTTAAATTACACTGTCAACGGAACAAACCGCGTCCTGGAGCACTAAATAAATGAGCGCCGCTGTTTGGGTCTCGCCGGCTGGAGAAGCGCGCGGGCGCACGCAGCGCCGCCCACTGCAGGCCTGAGCTGGCCATAAAACACCAACAATATGACACGGAAGCCAAAGACAGGAGTAAATCAAATAAATAGAAAACCCACTGTAAAAGTTCAAATGAGCTCTAGACCTAAATTTAGCCAGAGATTTACTATTTTCCCCTCTGGAGTTGTAGTAAATTTTACGTCTGTGGAAGATGCCAAACAGCAACGTTGGAAAGAGAGTAATCAGAGCTGCGGGTAGAGATGGGCACACGTGGGTGACATATAGACATCCTGAGCGAGCACACGTGGCTGTGTGGGTGTGACAGGGAGAGGTGAAACCCAGGCAGAAATATGCACATAGGGATCTAGGGAAGAACTGGACCAAGGACCAACCTGGAACAGATCTGCCTGACATCTCCAGGGTTGGAGAAGACAACTCTAAAAAGCCATCCTACCCCAGAAACTTGGAAATAGAGGAGACAGTGACAGACCCACAGCCCACAATGAACTGGGGAGGTGGGGGCATCAGAGGAGGTGCAGCGAGCTGAGTAGGGAGGGCTTCCTAGCCAGCAATAGACAGGCTGCCAATCAATGCTACTTCTACCTCTGAGCACTCTCTTTGCCCAAAAAAAGGAGGTCTGCACTGCCCTCCCCTCCCCCTCCTCCCAAACCAGGTGAGTGGGCTGGGTAGAAGTCAGGCATTTGTGACACTCACTTGGTGGCCAGCAGCATATTTTTTCGGGAGTGCAGGTCACTGGGGTCCGTGTGCTGCCGGTTCAAATACTCAGAAACAGCTTTGGCAGGAAACTCTGTTTCGCAGATGTACCCAAAATCCCGAGCTAAATGAACAGCTTCTCCTGAAAAAGGCAGCAGCAGAGATAATAATCAGCACCCAGTCCCTCATCATCCCAGAGCAGGGCAGGCTCCCTGGTCAGTTCTTATTATTTACAGAAGAGAGGGGCAGTTGTGGGGCAAAAGCAAAGGTGTGACAGATGCCCGAAGCAAAAATGATTCTCTGGCTATAATTGAAGTTGATGGAACAAACTTTGCTCCTGCCTCTTTCTCCAGACTCTCCCTGATCATCCTTCCAGCCAAGTCCTAGTTATATATTCCCTGAATAGCTTCAGGTCTCCCACACTCCATGCTTTGTCTCAAGGAAAACGTGGGCTGATATGTTCAGGAATTTACAACTTTACAATTGCACCTAGACACGAGGCTGGATATTCAAGCCAGATACCACTCTTCTCGGTAGCATTACACCACTTTAAATAAATGTAAAAGTCATCCTATCTTTTGTGTTATTGTTTGTATCTTCCTATAGTTATATTAGGAGAAATCTCTTATTAATAACCAATATATACACACATAAGTCTATGTGTACAGATATTCACATATATTAAAGAACATGCGAAAAATGTACATGGAATGAGTATTTTTACCCTGCAATGAAATAGTTATTCTCCTTGTCTGTTTCCAGCTAAGTTAGGCTTCAGGTTTCTCCTCTTCAGAGATCCCTGTTATCATCCTCCTACTTAAGGACTTTATAGAAAACTTTGATATCTGAGAAATTCCTCGGCTTAGGTGGAAGCCCCCCTCAAATAAGGTATTATTACCCTTTAAAGCACAATCTTAGGGGTTTGAGGAAAGGTCCCAAACATGAAAAAGAAAGACGTTGAATTATCCCATAGCCACATTATTTTTAAGGACCATGTTTTATTTTTAACCATCATTATAATAATAACAACAAAAGACTTTAGACATGGTGCTTACGACGACTCATAAAACTGGAAACTGCCAACCACATATTGGAATTTCAGTCTCCTCCCTCCTCCATCCAAATGCCTGTCTTGGGCTGAAATTACCTTGATTGCTTTTCAAAATGAGGGACGTGATAATACCAATTCCCTGAAGGGCGAAAAGTAAAACCCTCAGGCTGAGAGTCAACTACTAATAAGTGTGGTCTGAATATTTGGTGACTGTTGCCCCTGGAGGATAACTTTGGGCCAGGCAACCCTGCCTTAAAGCTGGCAAAGTGTAATACCTATAAATGTGATGACTTGATGGTTGCTGCTTAAATATTCTAAGAACCCCCTCCTCCAAAACCAACTCCCCACAGGAGTCCCATAATATCACACCCATGAAAAGAGAAGAAAAATATACATGTTAGACTCTAGATAAAATTCTACAGCTTCCCCCATTAGGGCTATCTGGCTGTATTTCCTCTCCTTTCCCCATCCCACAAATTCACCAGCAGATCCTCTTTTTCTAGACTTCAGAAAATTTCTTTAGTATACATCATAAATATCCCCAACCTCAAAATGATAGGCAAATTATAACGTGTTTTTATAACTCTGTCTCTTTAACTCACAACTGATGAATCTACACTGAAGATCATACATGATTCCCCTCCCTGTTTCCTCAACTCCCACCCAATTTTCTCCTAGGCATCACTGGCCTTCCTGGGCTGTATTTCAATAACAAGACGTCCCTCCTAATCAATCAGCAGGAGATAGGGCCCTGGGAGTGACAGGAGTTTTTAAATAACTGTTAGGAATTATGAATGTAATAATAGTTTCATAACTAGACAATATGTTTTCTACTACTGATTCAGATGTAAAATCTGAAAAGGAGGAGTATAGAATGAACTGCTATTTATAGAGTTACTCTTGCAAGAGTTTAGAGGGTATTTCAGACACTGGGTCCTGCACCTGGTGGCAGAGGTGAACCCTGCACTGGCTTAGAGGCTGAACCTGAGTCCTCTTCAGAGCACCTTCATCCGCGTCTCTTGGCCTCTCTACAATTGCTTGCTCCCTCTAAGTAAAAAGACCTTTGAACTTCTCTCTCCAACAGTCGCTTGACATCCACTCATAAGGGCACAACAATTGCAATGATTTCCAGTTAATCATGAAATGTGTAAAATGTCAGCCTTCAGCCGACAGTTAAGCTCAGCCACTTGGTGAAATGGCCACACGTCTTGCTTACCTTCCACCAGGGAGGTGAGTAACGTGACATTTGCTGCTTTGCGCCTGCCCGCGGGTAAATTCAAACCGATTTTTTCTAGCCTTTCTCGCAAAGATCTCCCCCCATTTTTCGATTTGGCTCTGAAATTGCAAGAATTAACATTCTGATTAACCTCGGAGTGTTCCTGAAACAAAGTTTAGACTTAGCAATCTAAAGCCCAGTGGAGCTTGAAGAGGTTTTTAACTTGAGGTTAGCACATTTCCCTCCTCTCTTCCTTTTGGTTATTTGCTGATAGTTTGCTGAGGTTGGCTTAATTTCTACAATACAGAGCATAAAATATTGAGCATTTTCTTTTTTTATCTCGTGGGAAAAAATGATAGCAGATGGCAATGATTAGGGTGTAGGTTGTGAGTCTAGAGAAGGTAGAAGTTGCATATGCACACACACAGCTCTTTCCTTGTCACGGAGCCAGTTAGGTGAGCAGAAACTGGGTGAGCACAACCGTGCAGAAAAGGAGAAAACTGTGTGGTTCAGAGAGGAGAAGGCACTAGCTGAAACAGGTGGGCTTTGCCAGGAAGGGGTCAAGAGTCGCTATAAAATGGAGTTGGGTTAAAAGGGGAAGGAAGACTGAAACATGAAACTAATGGTGATGGTAATCATAACAACAGTAAAACTAACACTTTAGGGAGTTTAGTTATGTGTGATAAACACTTTATATTATCTCACTTAATCTCATAGCAAGTTTTATACACACACGCTCAAGGCCTGGGGGTGTTTGAAAGAAACTTCCACACTCTGGGGCTCCAAGAACTCCCTTGAAAACTGAACCAAAGTAGAGCACAGCTAGAGGATTCAAAGTGAGAAAAGCCGGTGGGTCAACACCCTCACTTCCTCCCAAGGCTCTCCTTGTCTGTGCTAAGGCCTGGGCAAAAATACAAGCCAAGAACCAGTTACTCTGACCTCTCTTGCTGTACTGTTTACACAGACACTTTTAGGAAAGAAAGGGACTTTCAACCCCTATACTAGGCTAACTGGGGAAGTTCATCTCCTACAATGTCACCTTCGTATCAGTGACATTACCAAAGGGTTCAGGTGTTGACAGGGACTTTTGGGGAGGTTGTAAATCTTAAGATAAAAGTCATCTTCTCCCCTATTTTTCACAGTCTATGGATTGATTGCCTTCCTCCAATATTAGGGAGCATCTTAATGGCCCCAAGGAATAACTGTTGATACTTCTCCAGTGGTGTTATTGCTATCATTGGGGGTAGTAGAACTTAAGAAAGGAGGTCAGAAGTCTACAACAGAGTTTGTCAAACTATGAAGCACCACCGTGCATGTGGGTTGTCACCAACTTAGCCGCCAACTGCCTTTTAATCAAAGTAGGTTGCTCGGAGTACACTGCAGGTAGGAAGAGGGTCACTCCGTGAAATTTCTGTTTTCGGTATGTGTGTGTAGGTCCCCGGTCTCGCTGGCTAGAATGCCTGGAGGCGCCCTGGGGGTAGGAGGGAGCGGGACGCCGGGCCAGGGCCGGGAAAGTGTGAGGTTCCCAGGGTCGCAGCACGGGGGGGAGGGGAGAGCAAGGCAGCGCGTGCGCGGCGCGGGCCTGCGGCGCGTGGGTCCGAGGGAGGCGACTGCGCGCGCGGCCCCGAGCACGTGGCAGCCGCGGCTCCCCGCACGCTGTGCGCGCTGGCCGCTCGGTTGCTAAGCAACCGCGTCCGGCTCCACGTCGGTTTCGGCGCGCGCGCTCTCCCCCTAACCCCATCCAAACCAGTGTGGGGCGTTTTACCTTCTGAGGACGCCGCCGAGGAGAGAGGCATTGAGGCATTCGGGGGGCGACAGCCGTCTCTGAACTTCCCCCACAGTTACTTTGTACTTTGAAGTGGAACTGAGCAGAGACAAACGGCCGGGCACTGAGCAAAACACCTCGCCCGTGTTGACGGACATGCCTCCCAGGAAGCCATCTTTATTCATCATCAGAGAAGTCACAGATTTGGGAGGAACCGGAACTAGAGGGAGAGAGAAAAATATGCCATAAAGGTGACCGGGTTTCGATCCTGGTGACCGGCTGATAGAATGTGTCGTGCGTGCGCGGGGCCCAGGCCGCGGGGCGGGCGCCAAGCGGGAAGCTGGAGGAGGAAGTTTTGTTCCAGTGACTGCGGTGCGTTCAGAGCTGTGTACAAGCAAATGGAAAAGCCATCGCTTCTCTGGAAACTTACCCCATGGGTGTCGACTGATGAGTGTCGCTTGCCACAGCCCTGTTCACTACACAAATCGATAAAAGGCTCAACCCAGAGTTTGGATTGTGCTACGGAACCAGGCAAATCCTATTCCATCACATGCTGGCTGTGTGACCTTAGACAGCTCACTGAACCTCTCTGAATCTTGGTTTCCTCATCTGTCTCCTGAAGATAATCACATATAGTGCTGAGGTGATTATCACTATGAATGATACAAAATGGTAATGCCAGTGGTTCTTATGGGAATCCCTCCCTCCTCTCCCTTTGGACCCAAATCATGGTCATCACTGGAGAGGATCAGGAAGTTGGGCCTCATCAAATGCCGAAGAACAGTCAAGTAATACCATTAAGCTGGGGAGCTGGGTCCAAAAGAGCTGCTCATTTCTCCAAACTGGATCCCTACATCATAACAACAGATTCATTTCAAAATGAACCCAAATGCTCCTCTCCAGTGAAAGCAATTCCGCAGTGACATGAATTTTGTTTACAAATTAACATAAAGCACCGGCTGGTGATTGTTTGGAGCAGTTATGATTTACAACAGGTGCCCTGATCAATCAACCAGTCACTCTAATTCATATGAGCTGCGGTCTTGCCTTGCCCCAGTTGTTTCATTTCGGCAAGTAATTGATAACAAACCGCACTCAAGGTATGTTTTATGCAGAAGTTAATAAGAGCTGACAGCTGGTTGCCACTGCTACCCAGGCACACACAGTCTCTCCAGCCTGTATTTCTGTTTAATTGTTTCAGTGTCATCTGTACCTCAGGAAGAGGTGGAGCTCAGCAGAACCAGAGGCTGGCAATGAGGAGCCGTGAATGGTCAACATCCCAGTTCCCTGGCACTCTCTTCCCCTTGTACTTCTAAACTTCTGAAACCCATTTTCTTTCTGCACGCTCTAGAAGCCAGTGGGCAGGCAAATTCTCCTCCCTGCTTGCCCTACATCTTAGCTTCTTCCATTGGGTAATGAAGCCTCCAACTATTCAAACAATATTTGTTGATCACCAGTCCAGGGGATTTACTGAAACATTCATCTGGCATGAAAAAGGAGGCTTCCATTAATAAAGACTCTGTCTCACCCTGTGATTCTGGTATTAGGAAGATATGCTCTTTCTGCCACCTGGAGCCTAGAATCCTATATGTCAAACAAGTTGTATAATTTCCCTTGTGTAGAACAGACTAACACAATATTTTTGTAACAGCTTATTCTCTGTACCACAGATTTCAGCATTCATACTTCCTAAAAGCCAGTTAGGTCCTAAATCTTTTATTTTCTACGAATTGTATTTAGCCCTTTACAAAGACCTTCTGGAAAAGGGCTTTCCTAGGGGAATGGGTGTGGGGACGAAAGAATTCCCTGTTGCTACTTCTTAGCAGATATTTTTGGATTTCTGGCTCTGTCCACGGAGTCCAAGACCTTATCACAGGGCAGATGAATGATGTTAGATAAGAATGGATCCTGTGCACTGAAGTGGTGGTGGTGAGTTACAGAGGGCTTTGCTTCTTTCTCATTCCACTCATCACATTCCCATCAGTGACGCTACTTCCCATTTAAGAGTGAACCAATGAAAAGTTGAAGTGTGAGTGTTAATTAAATCTGAGTAAAATGTGAAGTTAAATTCACTTAATAGACAGTGATTGGGGTGGAAACATCTATCATTTGATTCTCTTATACAGCATTCACATCTGTTTTAATCTATCTTATTCCTTTCAGCAGTTCTGATTTCCATATGTCAGAATTCATATTCAAGCACTATAAACAAATAATTTATGGTCATGGGAACTGACATTAGATAACCTTGGAAAACTTTCCCCCAAAATATAGATGACCCTTTGTATTTTAACATGGTCTTAACTATAGAAATAAATTGTATAAAAATCTCATATTTAATACTCAGCAACATTTTTATATTTAAATACTACTTGGAATATTTTAAAAGAACAAAACCCACTAAGCTAAAAATAGTAAGTTCCTAGTTTCCAGATAACTGAATATCTCCTAAGGATTGGAATTTTACCTGCTTCTCACAGTCCCAGATGCCAAATCTCTTAAAGAGCCAGGCCTTTAGAGACACTTTATAACCTGCCCTCTAATTTCACTATTGTTAATTGCCTGATTTACCTGACAAGAGCTATTTCCTTTGGGGAATGTATATTGCTCCCTCCCGAGGGCTGTGCCTTCCTTTCTGCATATACATTATCACCTAAATATCACCAATCCTGTCAGCACACTGCTGTCTCGGGGAGGGGGTGTTTTTTGTTTGTTTGTTTTTAATCCAGAGACTATTTGAACAGACATGCTTCAGCTAATTCCATTTTTAAATTTAAGTATCAATCATATTCCTATCTATTTTCTCATCCACAGGTTATAACCCTCTTTCTACCCTGATCTTAGCATTAGTCTCCTAAACTAGAGTCTACACATTCCTTGTCCCAACTTTCCTTTAAGTCCATAGCCCTAACCCTAACCTTTCCCTCCACTCTCATACCTGCTTAGCTCAGCTGATTAACCCTATATTTTATTCTTGGTCTTTTCCCTTCTGCTTTCCTCCAGTTTATCAATAAACCCAGAGAGCAACAGGGCCCCGGTTGATTTGTTAGTAATTATGAGTACACTGTTCCTGCTCACGGAACCCAGAGATGACTAAGATAGGTTTAAAGCGACAGCAGGAAATGGTAAGGAAATGGAGCATAGCAAAACTCAGCATGAAGCTTTCAGTTCTTTACATGTTTACAATTTTCTGTGCATATATTAAAACTATTTTTTTTCTCTTCAGTTCTCAGTTGGATAGCATGGCCAACTTCTAGATGTAATGCCCTCAAAACTTGCTTCCCGCCTCCCTTTTCCCCTGCATTATTTTGGGGAGAAGGAAATGGTTTAAAAACTGATCGATTTTTTTCATTACAGTGACTAGAGTTTTATTTAAGAAAGAGGAAGGAAAGCTGATTAGAGAAAATATTATTTATTATTGGACTATACAGAGCCAAAATATTAATGGGCTGGCTCCTATAATTCTGTATTCTATAACTTAAGTGTGAAATTGTAGCTTTGAGATCTTTGTGTTTGACTGGAAACAGACCCTCTGTGAATATGATCTACCGGTGAAGGAGAAGGGGAGAAATAGATTCAAGGATTAAGTCCTTCTGAGAGGTACACGGACTTAAATATGTAAACAATACCAGGAAGCCTCCAAGAGGTTGAGCATAGCTTGAAATAATTACTTCTAACCAACAGATCACCCCTTTCCTTATACTTGCATTGTTTCTCATCTACCTGAAAGCTTAATTTTTTAAAAAAATTTCTTTATTGATTTTAGAGAGAGAGGGAGAGAGATAGAAACATCGATGAGAGAGAATATCAATTGGCTGCCTCCTGCATGCCCCCCTCCTTCATGCCCCCACTGGGGATCAGACCCACAACCAGGGCGTGTGTCCTGACAGGGAATCAAACTGGTGACCTCTGAGTGCATGGGTCGATGCTCAACCACTGAGCCTCACCGGCCGGACCTGAGAGCTAAATTTTATTCCAAATATATGCATATAACAAGTGTATAAAATGAGTACTGAAATCCTGGAAAGAAAATAAAAGGATTCCCACAAGGAAAGCTGGGACATACAAAAGCTACAAACAGTCAGTGTTGGCATCCTTTAGGGACAAAGTATAAGAAGCTAGAAACTGAGTTGGGTCTCATCACTTACTTGACATGTGGGACCTTGAAAGTAATTCACCTGCTCTCTGGAGTGCCTACACTGGGGCTGGTGGGGTATGTTGAAGAAGAATGTCTAACTTTCCCAGCTTTGAAATTCTATGGACTCTGATTACTCCCTGGGTGCTGGAATGTACCTCAGAGTTTCTACTTTTTGGGATCCAAGTCAGCTCTAGGAAAGGCAAATCTCTCCATCTGAGAAGAAACATACCCTTTCAGAGGCACTGACAGACTCTCCGCACTTTTTCCCTTTTCAGTCAGAAGCAAGAATCCCAGCAGAACCACTGTAATTGAAATTGGCAAATTTTTTACTCTCCCCTACCCAAAAAGAAAACCCACACTAATCAAAGTGTTTTTGTGGGGAAGGGGCCAGAACTAACGGGAAAGAGGGAGAGAATGAGGTTGAACTGAAACTAACCAAACAGGATATCCCCAAGACCAATGAAAATGCCCCACAGTCTCAACATTTGGACCTTGGATTCCAGCCATGCTAGCCTTTCCAAGAAATCCCAGCATTTTTTCTGATGCCTAAGGTGTCAAACCAATTGCAAACTGGCCTCTGATTGCACCAAAAACTTTTTCTTAAGGCCTAGGTGAGACTTTCTTTTTTTAAAAAGTTAGTGTGTAGGATGTTGGCAGTGATCATATTAGCTGGGCACCATCCTCCCCACCCCAACCAGCCCAGATTCCCAATTGTAATGGAACTGAGAGTTAAGAATGATTTTTTAATGTCTCGTTGGATTTTTAGACTGTTAATGTACCGAATCCTTCTCATTATTACTTTATTGATTGCTCATTGACCAGCCCCCTTCAAATCGTATTAACCACCCTCTGCCGGTTTAGATTAGAAGAGTTTAAAAAGCACCTTTCATTATCCCCCCCCCCCCTGCCATGGAGTTGAGACTCTAAGACTTGGCAGCTTAATGGGAGCTCTAATGGGGCAGCTAAGAGGAGAGGGGCCACGGTCCCTGCCGATTGCATTAATAGCTCAAAGGGGGCCAATACAGAAAATTAGCCGTAAACGAGCTCTGGAGATCCTCAAATGAAAGAGCCATTTATCACGCTGGCTACCTTCACTCTACTCGTTTGCTCTCTCTACTGGGAACAACTCATTTCCTCTTAACTAAATTACTTCAGAAATGTCAGCTAAGCCCACATAGCAAACATAACAAGAGAGCTAGCCTACAATCTATGGGGTGATATCAACATGGCTGAAAATTTGGACTGGTTAAATTTTAGAAGTGGGATGGCCTTCCATAATGAGGAGAGAGAGGGAGGGGGAGAGGGGGAGAGAGAGAGAGAGAGAGAGAGAGAGAGAGAGAGAGGTCTTTTATGCCTACATATTCTGTCTTCATAAACACAGGCAGAGACACCCAAACCTGGGCCCATTGGGGCACTTTTATTAACAAGATAGAATTTTAAAACTCTCTTTAAAAGCCCATTAGAAAATAAATGAAGCAACTGAGTCCCCTGCCAGTTGTTGAAATTTAAAACATTATGTTCAGAAAACTTTCCTACCTCTTCTTTTATGAAATTAATGTTTAGAGACAACCTTCATGAAAGTGAGGGGAGGGACAAAGATGGGAAACCAGGGAGCAGAGAAGGAGCTAATGAACCCATAACCTTATTTTTAAGTGGTTCATAGTAATTTTGAAAAATAAATCAACCACTTATTTCTATTTTGCCCATGACTCTCTAAAGATAAAAATATGATATTAGGATATTTTCTTCATGTAATAAAGCAAATACCTAAAATATTAAATAATGGAGTTGACCTAACACTTCACATTCACACCACACCCCCTAAATCAATACAGTGACAGGGGTGCCACTTAGGCGATTTAAGTTGCACATTAAAAAAAACAAAAAAACAAAAACCAACAACACAGCTTTGGGGGCCATAACAAATACTGCATGTTTCCAAAACAAAACCAGTAACTTTAGTCAATATTCTCCTTTTCTTATTTCTGAAGATACCTTTACACATAAATATTCACATTCTGCTGACAAACATACACAAGCCCTGGAGGAAAGCATCACACTTCTAAGAATATGTTTTGCTCTCTTTGGTTAGGCAAGCTAAGTTCCAAATATTTTTATTGGCCTGGCTATTAATGATATTTCTGATTGGTCATCGGTTGGGCATGCTCCTCTGCCAGCTGAAATGCTGTTTCTAGGCTATGAAACGCGGAGCTCAGGAGTTCTAGCTTTCCATGAAAAGGGGGGGGGGGCAACTAAAACAGACAAAAAAGAAACAAAAGCAGCCAATAAAGAATTGCCCCCCCCCCTTCTCCCATTAACCAGCAATTAACCAAAAGAGAAGACCCAGGAGGAAATGGTGAAAGTGAGCTGTCAGCACAGTTGCATATCTAAGCACTGGGACACTGAGCAAACCCAAAAGCTGGCATTAAGCACTGAAGAAATGATACTGTCCAAAGAAGAGGGGGAGAGATGTTTAAGGCAACACTTAAATAGTTTTGCCCCAGACCTTACTCGTCTTCAGATACTAAACTGCAAAGCCAAATGGTATCGTTTTAAGTTCAGCGTCCACCTCCCAGTGCTCAGAGCTACTCTGTGCCTTTGTAAAAGAAATTTTAGAATACCTCACCCGTTTTGGAATCCTTACTTCACAACCCTCCTACTATACCAGCTTGACTCTGGATTATTCCAAAACATCTTTTCTCTTCATTGTTTTTGTGAAAGTCATGTGGCTGCCATGAATCATAAATGACTGAAACCAAGGATTGTTGACATCAAACAAGGACAGGTCTGCTCCAGCACAGATAAGAAAGGGTTACTGTAGTTAAAACTATATCTCCAAACACCAGTTCTTGTGATAATTAAAGATTGTTCTGTTTACACATTCAAAGCTCCTAAATTTGTGGCACGTCAGTGACATTCGGGCCTTTTGACAACCACACTAATCGCCAGGCATTCTCTCAGTGACTGTCAGAGAAGAGGGGGGAAAAATTAAGCAGCTGCAATACGCCCGAAATGAGTTATTGTAATTACATTTAATTAGTTTAATTAGTTAATTATTTTGCTTACAGCTGTACAAGAGACTGCAAACATTTGTTAATATCACGTGCCCTTTAACAGTATGGGGTGATTCCACAGTCACACTAAATCATGAACGCACACGTGGGAAGATTTAGAAATGTGCTTAGGCTGTCTCAGCCTCTCAGGATACGCATATTTAGCAACACATTTGGCACAATTAAAAAAAATAAGAAACAACTCATAAAACAGAGTACTGGGAACAAAATCACCACACACACACAAAAATCAAATACAATCAAGGCAAAAAGGGACTATCTCAATGACATAGGGTTTTGTTTAGCAAACTCCAGTTATCAATGAAATAATTATAGTACGTTTTGAAAGTGGTGTTTCCCAGCTAGTTCCATCCATGATGGCAGTTCAATTATTTAAGATAGTATCTAGAATTGCTACCAAATGTACCATGAGAAAAACAGCAAGTCTCTGTCCCTCAGTCTCTCTCATCCGGGTTTCTGCCTGTGGTTTTCCCCCCTCCCTCCCCATTTCCTTCTTCCCGACATGCCCTTTCACCCAGACAGCCGGTGTTCTATCAATGTGAACAAACATTTGTGTCTTATAAAATAATGAATTCCCCTAAAGTCAAAACTCATCATAAAGACACAAATGCACAGGCAAACTTTGTTTACTTTGGGGAGGAAATAATCCATACCTTTTTTTATGACAGACTGGTCCAATAGATTCATGCCGCTGTTATTGGCATCTTCAACTGACTGTGAATATAAAAACATCACTATTCAAATTGACTGGATATTAAAGAATCGCACACATAAATCATGTCATTCCATACTGGAGTTTCTGTTATTTCCATTTATATTAATTCACAAAGGGGGGTTTTATTATTATCATTATGATCTCCAAATCGACACAGAGATGAAATTCACCCAAATTATACATTCTTCCAATGAAAGAAGAGGAAAAAGGAAACTGGGAGAGACATCTGGGATGCAGTATTGGTTTAGTTATTATATTAAACACAGATATTACATAGACATATAAACTTTTATATTATTTGCTCTTATGAATTGCGAAAATTTGGCAACAGCTGAAAGATTTTCACCAATATTAGTAAGAGCAATTTCAGTTTTCTGTTCTATCCCAGTGCATCTTAACTCCAGAGTCTTTCTACAAATACATAACAGTTTACATGATGGGATTTTAATTAAAGTCTGAGCAGTTTGGAATGGAATGCAAACAGCAACACACAGGAACACCTTTGCGAGCCGCCAGGACCGCACAGCCACTGCAGTCCCTACACATCCCTGTGCGCCATGAACTACTTGCTGTACAATCGTCCCCGGAGGAACCGCACAATGTGCTCCCCCTCCCAACGCGGCTGCGGCAGCTTCCCAGCAAGAAGCACACCTGTTAGGAAGGCAGTAACTAACTGCAGGCACACAGAAACACACAGAGGCCTGGATGCTCCCAGTCAGCACCTAGGTATTGGCAAAGAGCATTCATCTTCTGTGCCACAGTTTCATCCCTCAGGAGGAAAGTTTCCACTCTGGGTGTTGGCACCACTTCTGAAGGGAAGTAGCTGTTGGAATGAGTTTCTTACTGTCTGGCTGTGCATCCCTGGGCGTCCAAAAGCAGTGGATTCCCTTCCCTACCCCCACGATGAAAATAAATGCAAGGTTCTTCTGAAATGTACAGCTGCTTTCCTTGATCCACAGAAATCTAAGTTTGGACCAAATTGTCGCCCACTGTACAAAGAAGTAAAAAGCAAAGGACTTGAGAGTGCACTGTTTTCACAACACCTCCCACACACTCGTGCTGCGTCCTCAGACAAGGTGTGTGCTCATCACAGGGGAGACAGTGTCTACCCTAAATAAGCAGCATATTAGAAACGAGATGATCTAATCACGGAGAGGGCAAGTGTGTTTGTTTCTTTTGGTTTTTAAGATTCACTCTTCTGTTCTCAGAAAGGTGAGGAAAATTGTTATTCTCAAGAAGAACCGTTCTCCATGTTGGAACATGCCATGCACATCTTAAGGAATAGTTAAAAAAAAAAAAAACTTAAAAAAAAAGATTTCATGTAACTTGTTGGAAACTCCTCAGGAGACCCCCACCACGCACAAGCGCGCACACACGAGATTCACAGCTATCTATGTTCACGTGTCTCCAGTGGCGACGTGTCCACGCAGGACAAGAACGTTCACCTGGGTCTGTGGGCGGGCAGACCCGCATTCTCACGGGCCTGGACCCACGCGCCCCCACACCTCACGCTCACATCAGTACGTAAATATGTATATACGCCTCATCAGCGACGTGGGGTAGTTGTGGTAGTTAATGAGAAGGCTCTTGTCTGATTTTCTATCTAATTACGGCCGCCTGCTGGGTTTTTGTACAGGATATTCACGCAGCATGCTGGCGCTTAATCGTCACAGGGAGGGTCGTAAAGATTTAATTAGGACTGCATGCGGAAGCGCAGAAAAACAACTCAGACTCATAATTACTAGACTTCTTTAGTTAAAAGTGATACCAGGGGTTGCTTTAAGACACCAGGGTGTGTTTGAGTGTGTGTATGTGTGTGTGCGTGCGCGTGCACGCGTGTTGGGAGGTTTGACTTAACATCCTTAATGTTTATACTCATGAGTGGTAGAGGTGATGAGAGGTTAGAGACCAAAGATGGGAAGAAGAAAGAGGTTTTCCTGGTAACTAAGCAAACTCCAAAGTAGGTCCCTCTTTCTTTCTGATGCTGTTTTTCTGAGTTTCTTTTTAACACTGTCCCTGCCCGCCACACACACACACACACACACACACACACACTGGGTGAAATGTAGCATACCCAGAACCCAAACAGCGATTTGCTAGTTTAATAGCCACTGTGAGTAAATTGAAATAGAAATTGACAGGGTTTTATAGTTTCATTTAAAAAATATTAGAAGCATTTGCTTAATTAGCTCTCCTCCTCTTCTCTCACGGTTGGGGCGGTGGTCATGCGTGTGCGTGTCATACAACAGCACCTCCCCCCAACCCTCGGCCAGGTGAATACCCATCCTTGTAAGGTCCACCTCCCAACAGCACCCTCGGCATGCGTCTGGTGTGCGGCTGGGATGGGGGTCAAGGGGATCCCGAACATCTCTAGGCCCCTGAGAACGAACAAGTAAGTTACTAAGGTCCAGGCCCAGGCACTCTCGGGTCCCTTTTAAAGACCCGGCAGCCAACCCATTCGGTAGCTGCAGGGAACATGGAAGCCCGACAGGTTCTTGTAACTTTTGCCCCCCGCTGAGCTCCAGATCCCAAGTCGGAAGTAGAACCTCTGGATTCAGGGGTCTGGTCCTAGGTATATATCCTCTCCCCCTTCTTTCTTTGTCATCTGACCCGTGTGAAGTCAAACACAACTTGGCGAAATCATCCGTGTCAGGGAAAGGCGCGGGTGGTGTATCCCCTGCGACCCTTTGCCCCAGGGGTCACCCAGACCACGTCTCCATTTCGCCGGACTACCTGATGGGATGCTTCTGGGGGAAGAAACCGGGCAGAGGTGGGGTGGGTAGGGGAGCTTTCAGGCCGGGGCACACCTTCTACCCTCTGAGCTCTCTTCACCTCTGCAGTGTGTGTTCCCCGCTGTGCCACGTTTTGACAGGGATGTTCTCCCAAAGGCACAGACCTGGCCCCGTTTTTTCTCTGCCCTTTGCATTTGGTCAAACACTCAAAACTCCTCACAATTATATCCTTAAAAAAACAAACAAAACTAAAACCAAATAAGTCCATTCCCTCTTTGGGGGGGAATTCCTATGTTGATTCACCTGAGCCATTGGGCCAGCAGGGTGTGGGGGGTGTAAGGTGCCTGCCGGTGTTAGCATTGCCAACAGCAATGGTGTGAGCTGATCCACTTTCATTGTCTAGCACTTTGAACTGTACTCAGAAAGGTTAATTAAAATACTACACACCCCCAGAAACATATTACTCCAATGCATTAAAAAAAAAAACAACCCACAACTAATAATATTTTTCTCATATGATATTCTGAAATGAGCATTATCTCCAGACAGGGACAGTCAAGCTTGGTTAAATCAACAAAACTATCATTCTTATTACTGTGGGTAAATTCAACCACAAATCAGATGATACAGGAAATAATAAATAACTGAATTTCCTTTAAAACAATAAACCATCACATACTATGCACAGACAGCATTTGATGTTGCCACCACATTTTAACTGTTCAACATACATTGTTTCCCACCAAACTAGAGAGTAAGGACTTATGCACCCCTTTCTCTTCCCCATTTCGTTTTTCGTTGCTTCAGAGGTATGTCTAAAATGATACACAGAGTATACAACTATGTCAATGAGACCCGAGTGTCAATTAAATACCTTTCAACCATATTTATCTTTTCTAGAGACTCTTTAAACTAAGTAGAAAAAAGGAAACCTGCTCAGAATCACCAAGACAGGTTTTAGAAATCATTTCTTTGATGTTTCTTTGTTTAGTTTAATCAAGTATTCTCAACCAAATCAGGCTCCATTGTGTAGCTTGCAGATGGGATAGTGTATGGGTAGGGGCAGTGTTTTGAGCCTTTTGTTTTAAGAAATAAACACGTGATGCCTTTCAATTGGGATGGTGGCTTTGAGGAGGGGAGAGTATTTATAGAGGAGGGGGGGCTGAAGAGGGACCTGAAGAATATTACTTCACAATCCTTTAATAGACAAAACGGTGAAAAGAATCTCTAAGATGAGAGTTGTTCTCATGGTCTCCCAAACAGAATTATAGCTTTCTGGGTCTCTCCCCACAAATATTCCAATTCTTGGGTAACGATTCTGAAATTCAATTATCTTGGAAAAGGGTTCTGCAGGTCATGGGACATTTGAAGTAATACCTGTCTTGGACAAATGTAGCTCATATTTTTTTTCCAATGTGCACTGTCATGCTTAACAAAGTCTTTGCAAATCCAGCAGGAGCCTCTAGAGCCTACAGAGGACCCCCGGTGCTTCCAGGCAGTAGCCCCAACCCTTAGGCAGCGGGGTCTTCACCTGCCAAGTCATCCTGCCAGGATCACTATGGGACGTGCTGGGGGCAGGGGGGCGGTGCATTGGGGAGATACCCAGCTTGCTAACACAAAGCGCAAGAGAATAGGAAGGAGCCGGTAGCTAAGGCAAGATAAAAACATCTAGCTTTGATTCTGATGATCCTAAATGATCAAACTATACACATTTATTTCTCTCCTTTATTATTCATTTCTAGTGGTTCTAACTTTCATAACTGGACCTCCACAAATCGCCACTATAGAGCCATACACGTACCTACACACACAAACTGTCATATAGGTTGTGTCCAGCGCGTCCTATTCTAAAGATGGAAACTACCTCCCCCAAAGGAGACAGAGCGGTCCCACCCTGTTGTTCCGCACCCCGTTGTTCCCCTCCCCGGAGTATTCGCTATTTACTTATTGTCGATTTTTCGTTTGTTCGTTTGGTGGTGGTTACCTGGACGTCTTCCATTCCGGGATGGCCGAGGCCGTGCAGCGAGAGGCTGTCACCCATGCCCGCGTCCAGGCCGTGATGCGCTGAATGCAGCAGCACGTCCGGCCGGCGGACCGAGTGGTAGTCCCTTCGGGGGTCGAGGCCCGAGAGCTGGGGCAAGGCGGCCCGAGGCTGGGGCAGGAGAGAGCCGGCTTCGGAACCTACTTCTTGCCGCTGCCGTTGCCCCCAGGGGTGCTGCTGGGGCTGGTGCAGTGGGTTCAGGGAGTAGGGATCGTTGACGTGGGAGTAGGGGTCCTGGCTCTGGTGGTAGGGGAGCGGCTGGTAGGGGGGCGGGAAGTAGGGCGGCTGGAAGTCTGACGATGGGGTGTGGGACAGCGGCGGGGCGCTCGAGTAAGGTCCTTGGGACACCGAGCCCAGCTGGGAGAGCCGAGAGCTGTGGCTCGGGACGCCATCGTGCCGGTCCTGGGAGCGGAGAGAAGGAGAGGAGAGAAAGACAGAAGGGGAGGAAAAAAATACAAGCGACAAATGGAGAAGCCCAGCTTCAGTACGTTCTTCCCGGGACAGGGGAAGCAAGAGTCTGAAACTTATACTGCCAAGTTGACTCAGGGGCAAATGATTTTCAGCAATTCCAAATGCAAGGCTTTGGGGGGGGGGGGGGAGAATCACCCACATAGCCGACATCTGAGCCTTCAGTTGGGAGTGCAAAGCCAGCAAAAAGGGTGAGGGGAAAATAACTGTGTATGGAGGGAGAATCTAAATTCCTTAATTAAAAATATAGCAGTCTTACATATAGTTTTTGCTCTTCTGGGTGCTTTAACCCATTTTTTCTAACTCTGCCAGAGTTCCAAAGCATAACAAATAAAACTTCACACTCTTAGTTGTGCTGCTCCTCCAGTTCAAATCCAACTTCTTCCTTCACTGGCAACCCAGTGGGCTGCCCCAGGAGCTCCTGATCACAAAACCTGATCATTCCAGGAGCTCTGAGGCATCTGCCACATCTGAGTTCTCAGTCACCTCTTCTTCCCCAAGAGGAATTAATTTAAATAGTGTTTGATTGAAATGGATCTCGTTAGAAATCATATCCTAAGCCCATGTTGAGTTGTGGTTTGAAGGAGTTATTTCTAAGGTTGCTTTTTTCCTAGCTAATGCTATTATATACTCCAGGGTGTGAAAATGAAGGACCTGAGGTTGGAAGCGGGGGGAGAAAAGGCCCAGACAACTCCCTGTTGGTCCTATCTGGAGTGGTAAACTAAGTGAAAAAGGGAGGAGGTGTGTGTGTGTGGGTAAGGGGGGGAGGGTGTTTAAGTTTCTCCCTCTCCTCTGTGGAAATACCATGGTAAAGTCTTCATGGTTCTTTTGGAGAAATAGTCACCTAAATTTCCAAACTGCAATGGCAAATAAAAAGTTTTGTCTTTGGCCTTCCCCCTCCCCAGCTGACTCCAGGAGCTCAGACGGAGAACACACAATGCAAAGAGAAGCAGCTGCAGCCTCGTCCAATTATGGTGCTAAATTACCAAGCCAAAGGCGCTCAAAGGAAGACAGAGACAGAGAGAGTGAAATGCACACAGAGACAGAGAGACGGAGAGAGACAGTGAGAGGAGGGAGCATGCAATTCTGGTACAACGTGAATCCAAACTCACCATGGATGAATAGGTGTGGACTAACATCTGGAAAAAAAAGCCTGGTTACTGCTCAAAATCAAACAATGATTTAAAAAAATCAAGGAGTCCAGCAAAAAAAAAAAAATGAGCTGGACACAGAAGCTGAGCTTGAGGTGTTTCCAGGACAAGCCATAAAAAAAAAAAAAAAAAAAAAAAAAAAAAAATCCCCCCCCCCCAACAAGATTGGTGCCGCCTGTCACACACAGAGCTGTTCATCGGTCTCTTGCTGTCTTTTTGGCCTTTTTTCTTCTGCCGTTCTTCCGGGCTCCAGAAACAGTCCTCTTCCACCCGAAGCTGGGCTCAGACTGCTCCGGCGCCCCTTCCTCCCTCCGCTTGCCTACACCGCCTCATAATAATTGATATTCATGACTATTAATATTACACGAGTACTTTAAAGGGAGAATGGAGGACAAATGGAGCGTGAAGCAGCAGCCAGCGCCGAGCTCCCCTACTATTGTAAATGACGTTCATTCAGTGGAGAATTACTAGATGTAATCAGACGAGGGGGCTGGCAAAGGCAGACTGGGGAAAAAGTTTAGCAGGAAAGAGGCAGAACTTCAATTAACTGAGCTGGGGACACGCGTAAAGCAGCCTCTGTTTCCTTGGACAGGGCAGTGAGGGAGAGCATCGCGGGGGGCTTGTGCAGAACGTAGGTGTCCTTGTTCCTGGAGGGGGACTTTCTTAACGGGAAGAACTGATCGCCCTGGGTGCTTAGTGTGCAGATTAAAATATAAGAATAATAATAAATATAAAAAGGCGTTGCCTCCTCTTTTGGAGGGGAGAGAAAAGCAAACCGGTGGGCCCCGTTGTTTACAGTGACGTTTACAGACCTTCACTGAATATTGGAGAGTATGCTTATTGTTAAAGGGCAGAGGTGAGAAGGGGACTTTTCATCCCTGGTGCAGCCTTCTTCTCTTTAATGCTCACACAGTCTGTGATTTTTACCTCAATTTAAAATATATGCAATCAATCTTCAGGTACACTAAACTTATCCTTTCCAGGCAAAGCCAGGGGCAACAGAAAACCTTTCGGATATTTCAGGAACCCGTTCAACTGGCTTGACTGCCATTTCTGTTAAAGTTCAACCTTCCTCCCGACTTAAATTGGCTCCTTCCACCAGGCTGCGGGTTCCTCTATATTTTTTAGCACAAAATTTAGCAGCTGGGAATACCTGCAATATTCTGTCTCCCCTTCTCTGCCTTTTTCCTCTCTCCCTCCCCTTCATTCTCTACTCCTCTTGTACTCCACCCCTTCCTCTTCCTCTCGCCCTCCCTTCATTCTTCTCTCCCTCCCTCCGTTCTCATTTAGCCAGTTTACTTCTCATAATCAAAGAACAAGTTATGTCCTGCTTCCTTTTGAGAGCGTAGATATCCCTCCATGTATATACCGCGAGCTGTTTACACCGGGGCCCCATCCCCGCCAGTGTCAGGCCCATTCAGCCGCTCACAGGTTTTTTGTTTGTTTTGTTTTTACGCTAGTTATAGCGTCTTCTACTTTGCCGTCGTCCTGCCTGCTAAAGAAAGGAGGCCGAAATAAACACCGCAAGGCGGAGGCGAGGCTCTTCGTTACAGTCGGTACAAAACCACAGAGAGGAAAGGGAAACCCCAAGGATCATGTATCATTGGCAGAAAGAGGAATCTCTCTTTCTCTCTCTCACCCCAAAATTAAGATTCAAGGCTGGGCAGAGCTGGGGGGCACTGGGCGTGGGCTCTGCCTGCAGGGCGCGGCGGGCGAGCCCGTCTGTCCCGCAAGACTGGGCCAGCGGCATCGGTCGGAGCTCGGGGCCGCTTCTGTGCGCGGTCGGTTCCCGGTATCCGCAGCGCGGCTCGGGGCCGGGCTTTCCCGAAATGTCCCGGAACGGCGGGGTCGCGCTGCCCCCACTGGTTGGGGGGGGGGGGGATGCTCTGTGCATCCGACAGAGACCGCTTCTTCCAACCCAGCTCTGCCTGCGCTCGCCGCCCAGGATGGTTCCCGTCCTCCCTCCTCTCTCCAACTCTTTGCAACCTCCACTGCCCCGTCTCCAGTTCCAACCTTCCCCTTCTCTAACTCCTCTTCGCCCATCGCCTTTCTCCTGGCTTTTCTCTCTCCTCCCTCGACGTCCCTGGAAAATGTCGCTACCCTCTTCCACTTGTACCTAATTCGGGGTCTCCAAGGGCATCCCGCTACGGAATGCGGCTCCGCGGGTCCCCACCACGCCGCACGGCCCCTGCCCCGCGCCCCGCACCGCCGCCCGCCTGGTCCGGGAGCCGCCCCGCCGCCGCAACGCTCGGCGCCGGAGACCAAGAGGGCATCGCGGGCACCGCCCGGCCCCTCCAGCTGCAGGCGCCCCGGTTGCCGCCAACTTCTCCGGCCGGAGGGAGAGTTGCGCTAGAGAACCATACGCACTGAACAGGGATAGCAAATTCGCTAAAAAAAAAAAAAAAAAAAAGCCCAAACACGGGGTGATTTGGACGCTCTGACCCTTAGAGAAGCAAAACCCAGGTAAAGAAGTAAAAAAAATTGTGACGACTCCTTGGCTTGTGTTCTATCGACACCCATCTATCTACGTCCCTCTTTATAATTTTCCGTCCTCTATTTGGATCCTTTTGTTGTCGATTTCAGAAATTTTATTGAAAATAAAAATTAAAAGCCCGAGTCTGTTACCAATGAGGCTTGAAAACCTAATTCTCTCCCACACTCAAAACGAGGAGAGCCTCTGCCTTTAGCAGTCTGTTTTCTCTGCTCACCTTCCCCATCGGAGTCTAAGGGGATGGGGGTGGGGGTGGCGAGGAAGAGAGAAAGAAAAAGAAAAGAAAAAAAAAAAAAAAAAGAAATCTTCTAAGTCAGATTTCAACCTTAAAGTCCCTTTTCAGCATAGCGAAGTCTCCCCAAGCCAGCTTTTCTAAAAGTTAGAGAAAGCTGAGAAAACCGACCGGAAATCTGCGAGTATAGAGCATAAAAAATATATATCAGTTGGAGCGTCAAGAAGCTCAAATTCTCTATCTACAAAACTCTTAAGATGCATCTGGGGTGTCCGCTCACCTCATAGATATCTTCGTACTTGACATTCTCCACGAGCTTCCAGAGCATGATGGCAGCCTGGTCTCTAGGAGGTGAGTGCATTCATGTGAGGAGCAGATGTCTGGCTTCTCAGGACTCCGCTGTCTGTAATGATCCATCTATAATTGGAAATGGGGGATACACACCAAATCCGACGCTCCTCTCCCATCGCAACTTATATCTGTTGTCTCAAACAATAGGCTGGAGAAGTAAGCCTCAGCAGAGAGATAAACATTATTACACACGCAAGAGTTAGATGCAACCCACAGACATATATATTATAAAAATCATAAACACGTATTTACACCCAGATACCCACATTTAGTTATATAAGCACCCCTGGGTCATGCAGTCTACAGACTCTAAACATGCATTTAAAGGAGAAATGGTTGTTCGGTGTGATTAATATAAATGTACACATTTAAAAACCTCTATATTGAAAATGATGAATCATTGTAGCCACTAACTAAAGTCTTTAAAATTCATAATGAGATACCAGGGGGCCAACAGCCCCCCATTTTCTATCTAGATTTTAAAAGGAAGCCCATTCCTGAGATTTTTAAACACAAAAGCTCCTATTCATGTGTGTTCAGCAGGAGGGTGTTTTGAAAGCTTGATTTGGGGATTTTAAGGGTGATCTCTCAGTGTTGATGGCTACACAACTTTTTTTTTTTTTTTTTAAACCTGTACCTCTGGCACTGTACAACAAAAAGCCAGCTCACCACAATGACCATTTCTAATATTTTCTGGTTATTTTGACCAACACATTTGATAACTTAAATACTATATGAACACTTCAGTCTGTACCGTTTGCCATTTTAGGTGCTGTTTGTGTGCGTTTTTAACAGATTTCATGTGCCATTTTTTCTTGGCTGGAATCTCCATTTTATGAAGTTTTTCTCTTTTTTCAGATGTTGGAAGTAACATAGGCACACACACCCGTCTACACAGTGAGTGAAATTGGAGTTTTCTTCGCAGAGACATAATACATTTTATATTTACATCTGTTGTCTATAACTAACTTTTAAGTGGTTTTAATCATGGAGAATCAAAAAATGATCACCTAAACCTTTGGAAAGCTTGAGCAGAATGTTCTTTAATGACATAGTGAAACATATTTTGTAATGTGTGGGGTTTTGCTTGGTTTGAATGTATTTTTTGTAGTAAGGTGATTTGTATAGTTTAAAAAAGAGAAAGAGACAACGTAAACAAGAAGAACGAATTTAACCAAACCTGGAAAATGGGCGCCCTTTAAGGCACAGGATTTCTGAATATCATCACGAGCTGAATAGTCACCTCATTCCTCCTTTTCCCACCCCCTCTATTTTATTTCTATTCGCTTTCAGGGTGCTAAAGGATCCCCACAGCCAGAAGGGAAGTCCAGTGGAAGATCTCTACCCCTGGGGCAGAAAATAAATGACAGGAGGGAATGAGGAGGGACCAGGGCAATTTGGGGTGGAAGTTATTAAACCTGATAAGAATGAATCTGCAAAGGGCGATTGTCTGTAAATCTCAGGACTGCTGAGTGCTGCCAGGCGGGAGCAGGGACGGACACTTTGAGGAGAGGGCTCCGACAACTGAGGTGGATAGCGACTCCACAAAAACCAACGAGATGCTTCTTCATAGAGTGCAGAAGGAACAATTCGGAAGATTTTTAATTGAATTTTTAAAAATGAGAGGTGAAATGAAAGGAACACAATGAAGGTGCTTCAGAAGGAACTTTAGAAATAAACCTTACCTTCATTTCCAGTTTCAATTTTTATGTTTTGCCTTTCTGTCCTCCCTCCCTCCCCCATCTTTTCTTTCTTCCCTCCATCCTGTTTCCTCCCTCCCTTCCTTCCTTCCTTCCTTCCTTCCTTCCTTCCTTCCTTCCTTCCTTCCTTCCTTCCTTCCTTCCTTCCTTCCTTCCCTCCTTCCTACTTTCCTTTCTTCCTTCCTTCCTCCCTCCCTCCTTCCTTTACTCTACTTTAAATATGAACACCTTACATTATGCAAAATCTATACAGATTTTTCCACTAGAAGCATGAGCAGAGATTTTTTTTTCTTTGCCCCCAGAGCTGTTTTGAACATGGGAAGGCATTCTTCCTAATTTTATTGCGTGGCAGGACTTGAAAGGGTGTTTACCCTTCCTTTCCACCCTTTCCAGACCTAAAATCAGTCCCAGATCAATATTTTGTAAAGATAAAGATTATAGAATTGGAAATTCAGATTCTCTAGACACCATTTTATTAATGGGAATAATTGTCTTCTCCCTTTCAAATAAATATTTCCATTATCTTTTTTTAAATCTGAAGATTATTCTTACCCCAGATGAAAAGCATTTGGAAAAATCTTAATTTTCTTCAAATGCTTTAAACATACTTTTCATTTCTTTTTGTTATATTATTAATTAGACTAAAATCAATAAACTCTAAAGCTTTAGCCAAAAAACACCGAGAGAAATACTTGATATACAAACGATTTAAAAATATATCGGTATAACTACTTTATAGCCTTATATATGTATAATTTAAAATTTTGCATATGAATTTTATTGTATGCTAATTTTAAAATTAGAAACGTCTTGAAATATTTGGTTAAAATTTATATAAATTCTTTAGGAAAATTAACCAGTCTAGTTTTATTAAGAATGAAGCATAAGTTTCAAAATATATGCACACACACAAAGAGACAGCCAAAGAAATACATAACGATAATTAAAACCGAGTCAATTTTTCAACGTGGATATTATTCAAAAAGTCTTAGAAATTGCACGGGAAATTTTTCCTAGGAAGCCTTCTTTAAGTCATTGAACGGGCAACAGCGCCCTCTGTCGGGATTTTGTATAAGCAAATTCTACACGGCCACTAGATTTCTTTTAGCGATTCCTTCCGGTTCTTGAAAACCTGTTATTGCTAAGAGCATTTAAGTTATTGTATCTACTAGTTTTAGGAACGATTGTTTCAGCACCTACAAAGTTCAAACGCTTTAAAAATGTACAAATATAAGCTTAATCTCTGCTGAGAAAATTTTCCTTACTTGAGCCGTCTTTTTGTGCCCTTAACTTTGTGTTGTGTTCATTGCTTTAACCTCCAACGACGTCATGTAAGGAAAGATTCCCGCGAGGACTCAATAAATGCAAAAGCATAGGCAAAACAAACTCTGGTTTGGAAGGAAAGTTAAGCAACTCATACGCATTTTTATAATCATTTCGTTTTTTCCTGTCGTCTGGCCTTGTGCCCGTTTATTATTATTATTTTTTTCAGGGCACGCACACGCTCGCCCAGGTCCAAGCGTGCTGAAGACATCCTAGATAGTTATATTCCTATTTCCCCTTTCACTTATATTTATGTTCGTTTATTCCAACAGACAGGAGAGCTAATAGTACCCTCCTTTTCTGAGCCTCGGAGAGAGGGAATATTTCACGGTAGCTCCGGAGCCACTGATGGAAAGCGAATGCACCTAGCGGGAAGCCCTCTGCTGGCGGCTTTTGGAGTAGGTTTAAAACTTAAAAAAAAAAAAAAAAAAAAAGTTACCGAAAAATAGTACATTTAATCAAGATCTCCTATGAGCAGTGTCATGTCTTATTTCTCCTTTCGTCTGAAAATCTAATTATGAATTATCTAACTGTATCAGCCTTCCTCCCCCTATTCCTCACCTTGGCACCTATGATGCATAAACCACCTCTTTGTGGCTGCTTCATGGACTGCACTTTCTTTCACAGATCACACGCTTCGCCAGGGTTTCCCATCTTCTCCAAACACAAAAATAATAGAATGGCAAAACAAAAAACAACAACAACAAAAAAAAAACCAAGGCTTCGAATGAGGAGTATTGTGTCAAGTCAGAACCCTGACCCTTCTCATTCTCAGGGATGGGACAAGCTTCTTAACAACGTGGACTTCAGTGGACTGGGCTATGAAATGGGAATGACGGTGAGAATCCATTCAAACAACGCTTGTGAAGGAATATTTGACATTGTCACTTTGCACAGCAATTTAATTTCTCAACATTGACACAAGACACTGGAGCTGGGTGCCAGCAACGTGAAGACTTCCGTCAGTCAGGGACTCCTAAACTCCTGGTTAGAAAGTGGAGGCGGGAATCCCAACTTAGGTCTTCCCAACTCAGCACTACCCCCTAGCACCAAGCTGCTGTCCGCTCTCCTTCATTCTGAACTTAAGAAGACAGTATTTGGGGACTGTTAAGTCTTTCCAGAGTTATTTTTCCCCAGGATTTATAAACAGGAAAAGGAAGAGAGAAAAGGTAGCACGGACGTACTTTGACATATCGAGAGACTACCCCCTCCTCTTACCCATCAGAAGCATTATTATTCACTGAGTTGATTAATAACATGCCAGCTACACTTTTTACTGTGACACCCTGACTCTGTTTCTCTCTCACATTTTTAATGTCAAGGCTTCTCATGATCATATTTTTGGGGAATCTTGGTTGTGTTTTTATTGTAAATTTGGAAGCATTACTTGTTAAATGTGTAAAACTCCAATTCAAGCACCTGCCCTTGGATGTATAGGGCTTTGCTACCACAGAGGTTTTAGTAATCTGGGTTTGAGGAAACAAAATAGGAGGGACTAATGTCGGTATTATCAGTGTTTAAATTTTAAACAAGAGTGGAATTATCTCGTGATTGACTCTTCATGATTATGCAGACGGAGGCACACATTGCAAAGGAAATATAATTTCTTCAACCGTAGTATTTAACCAATACATTTGTAAAGCTGAAATCACTTGGGACAATAAAAATCATTGTGGCTGTGGAAACTCCTACTTTCTCTTGCACTTTTGAGGAGCAGGAGTAATTTTACGACATATTTTAGGTGTTCTGAAGTCCTTAGGCTTTTCTATTTAATTGTGGGGTATAAAGTTGCCAAGAGTACAGTCTTCACATTCCCGTTTCCTAGAGATAAAGAGGTTAAGGAATGGAAGATGGGGGTGGGGGGGCTTGGTGTAAATGATGCAAACAGCCACAGAAGAGTTTTTTCTAATACTGGTGGATATCTGACATACACAATGCGAGAGGTACGCTTCTTTCCTGGCCAGACTAACGCAGGACAGGTATTTCCATCATTGTGGACATTTTCTATGTT